ATAATAATGATAATAATGAATCATTTAAAGGGGTTACTAACTGAAATTCCTTCATTAAATTGTAAAATCTTTCAGCTTTTGCTTTATGTTTTTGCTTCATGCATCTTATTCAGACTCCTTTCAAACAGGGAGTKATTTGTTTATAAGAGCACAGGATGAGGGGGAGTACTTTGCAAATCCACATTAATTTTTGTTACGATTGCATTTCTGATTAGAAATTCCACATTAAATTGTAAAATCTTTCAACTTTTGCTTTATGTTTTTTATTTTTTGCTTCATGCATCTTATTCAGACTCCTTTCAAACAGGGAGTCATTTGTTTATAAGAGCCCAGGATGAGGGGGAGTACTTTGCAAATCCACATTWATTTTTGTTACGATTGCATTTCTGATTAGAAATTCCACATTTTTGTTCTCTAGAAATAAACCAAACTGCATATTGTGAAAGAGAAGAAATCTATATGGWTTTGTAAGAAAAAAAATTGTGCAATCATTTCCCTAACTGTTGAACTTGGTCGTTTCTTTAAGATATTTTTCTAATTCCAGCCACAGCTTTGGTTAAACTGTTTTTGTGTTTAAAAGGTATTTAAAAAACTTTAATCCATTCGTGTCCTAAAGTACTGGTAAGTTGGGAAATGTTAAATTTTCACCACATATCATTAAAAATTTGTTTGAATTGAATTTTGGGCAAAGGGGCCCAATATAATTTTTGTCCATTTTTCTGCTTCTTTTCATTTCATTTATGACTTCTTTTTTTTTTTTTTTTACATTTTTTTCTCCTTGGCTTTTAACTGAAAAGTTTGAGACATTGATGTTAACATTTTTGGTATTTTTGACTCATTTTACTTAGTTTTTATTCGTGTTCAGCACTTTGGCCTACTGTGTTGTTTTTAATAGGCTTTGTGAATAAAGTTGTAATTTATTGTATTTTTTCTAAATGGTAKATAGACCTTTATTTTAACGTATGAATGAATATGACTCGAAACCAAGGACTCCTCCAGGCCAGACCAGGACCGTACAAACCTGCTGCTTCCTGGAGGTATAAAAACAACTGATTTCAGAAGGTTGTGACGTCAAAACAGCAAGACAYATAAAGATAAAACACAACTTTATTCAAACATGAACAGTTAATGTAAAACAGCTAATAAAAACAGAAACCACAGTAACTAAAAGTCAGTTAAAACTCAGTTAAAACACTTTAAATCTGACAGTTGAACAAATAAAAACGAACAGAATGTCAGAAAACTCCTTTCTGTCAGGCGTCTGGTGTCTTCCTGGTGGATTCTGTCAGGCGTCTGGCATCCTGTCGCTGTGCTTCATCATGTGAACCTGGAAACATTTCTCAGTGAAGAAAGACCTCTTGCAGATTTCACAGCTGAACCGTATCTCTTTGGCCGGCGTGTGMCCAGGGSCGGGCGCDGCAGACGTCTCCTCCTGRTTCCTGTCTGCATGGGTGAGCAGGTGGAGCTTCAGTCGGATGTCRGAGGTAAAGGACCTGGGGCAGACGGTGCACTTCTGTTCTTTACTATTCTGGTGGGTCATCATGTGCTTCTTCAGCGTGCCCTTGTCCGTAAAGRCTTTGTTGCAGGTTTTACACTTGTGGGGCTTGTTGCCCTTGTGCCCGTTCATGTGTCTCCTGAAGCCCACCGTGGTGATGAAGGTCTTGCCGCAGACGTCGCAGATGAGGGTCTTTTGGTGGGAATGAAGGTGGCGCCGCAGTTCCTCCGTGGTCTCTGACCGTTCTCCGCACACGCCGCAGAGCATGGCCCGTTCGTTCACGTGAGTCCACGAGTGTTTCATCAGCTTCTTCAYGGACAAGTGCTGACTGCGGCAGACCTTACAGGACTCGTGCCGAGGGGCGTCTGCCGGGGTCTGAGGAAGCTGCAGAGTTTGGACAGGTTCAGGGTCTCTGGGTTCATTTGTTCGGGGCTCTCGGCTCCTCTRGTCSATCTGCGATCCTCCGACCTCTGATTGGTCGTTTGTGTTCAGACTGGACGGTTGTTCCTCCTTAATCTCCACGAGTTCAAAGGTTGTGTTTTGCTTTGTATTGTCAGACGTCAGCAGGGAGATTAGGATGGGGCTCTGCCGACAGGGGTCACCCTCCGTAGTYGTTTTGTCCTCTACCCGTCTGTCTGCCCTCACACTCGAAGCTTTGACAGAGACAGCGTCTTTCTGGTTGTCCCCGTCCTCGCTGTCCTCCGTTTCCTCGTCATCCGACTCTCTGTTTGCGTCCACCTCTGAATGCAGGACAGGTGGCTCCTCCATCGTCTTTTTTGGTTCGTCACTTGCGTTTGTGTTGGRAWGGGATGTCAAGATGGGCATGAACCTGAGCCGGGAAGGCTCRGGCTGCTCGTTGTCTCCGTCCTCGCTGTCCTCCGTCTCGTCTTCGTCTGATACGCTGTATGTTTTCAAACCCGGAGGTTGGACATCTTTGTTTAACGTCTCTGGACACGGTTCCGGTTGAGGCTGCAGTATCGGGGGCTTGTCCTCGTCACTGTCTTCACTGTCTTCCGTTTCCTCGTCTCTGCGATGGGACTTGGATTTGCTGGAGGGACCTTGGACCCTTTTCTTTCTGTCTTTAACTCGTTTTCTGAGGGAGAAATGGGAACAAGAGAAAACAATTATTACTCTGTCTTCTACTGGCCGACATATTTATGTCTCAAACCCTTCTTACCGTTTTGAAGATTTGGTTGAAGCAGAAACGTCTGAAGGACTCTTTTTTACATCAACCTGGGCTTCCTGTTGTTTCTGCAAGTTTGTTACAAAAATAAAAACATGTAGATTAAATTTCCTCAAAATATGAACACCAACACATAAAATATACTGACTCAAGAACCGAACCTTCAGCTGGATGTAGAGGACAGTTCCAGTTAACGATCTGATGATAAATTTGATCTTCTCTGGAGTTGGACTGTCCAGATTTAAACCTCTGAGTCTTGTGCCATGACAGACCAAAAAAACAAAAGGTGTCCCATCCAGCACAGGGAAGGTGGACTTCAACAGGGCTATGAACTCGTCCGTCTGCAGGTTGGCAGGGCACTGGAGATCACTAACTGAGTGTTTCTGAAACACTGAGAGAAACAAACCGTCAGTCACAGGTCCAAAATTTTACACTAAAAACAATAAAAACCATTCCTAAGGTCTCAATAAAAAAATAAAGAGTCCTGATATCTGGGTTTAATTTGTTTTGGAATATTTAAAATACTAATTGTTGTTGAAGTTGTSATTTAAAACATTATGGTTTTATATATTAATGCTGTTGATCTGTGTTTGTCTATTAACTCAGACTGTTGCAGGACTTGTAAATCCTTGTGCTCAGWAATGCTATAAGAGTGAAGACAGCTGCTGATTTGTAACTGTAGAGTTCAATTACTTTTACAACTGCTATTAGACAGATAAGCCTTCATGGAGGAACTGGAGATAACGCCTGGTGGGAGAACAGGAGATTGCACATGGTCATGTAACAGGAGGTCACACTCAGCTCCTTTGAAGACGAGCTACAAAGAGTCAGTTCTTGCTGCAGACATGGTATGGACTGTACCTTCTCTGTATAATCACCAAATCTGCTGCTTGTTTGATATTCCTTGTGTCAAATGTTTTGATAATTAATTTATTCAATGCAAATACACTCAGTTAGTGACCTCTGAGAGGTCAAACTAACTACAGCCCAAAAACTAAATCTAGCAACAAACATGGTTTGTAAAAAGTAAAAAACAGTATGTGCTGAAAATTTGAGTGACAGACAAACAGATGGATGGATGAACAGTTGGATGTGGTTGGATAGATGATGGATGGATGAATGGATGGGTGGGTGAATGGATGTATGTATGTATGGGTGGACTGATGATGGATAGATTGATGGATAATGGTTGGATGAACGGATGACGGTTGGTTGGATGGATGGATGTTGGTTGGATGGATAATGGTTGGATGGATGATGGTTGGATGGATGATGGTTGGATGGATGATGGTTGGATGGATAATGGTTGGAGGGAGGGATGGATCATGGTTGGTTGGATCATGGATGGATAATGGATGGATGGATAATGGTTGGATGATGGATGGATGAATGGATGATGGTTGGATAGATAGATGATGGATGGTTGGATGGATAATGGTTTGATGGATGGATGGATGATGGTTGGATGGATGGATGATGGTTGGTTGGGTAATGGTTGGATGGATGGATGGATGATGGTTGGTTGGGTAATTGATGGATGGATGATGGTTGTTGGATAATGGTTGGATGATGGTTGGTTGGATAATGAATGGATGGATGATGGTTGGTTGGATGGATGGATAATGGTTGGTTGGATAATGGATGGATGGGTGATGGTTGGTTNGTTGGTTGGATAATGGATGGATGGGTGATGGTTGGTTGGATAATGAATGGATGGATGATGGATGATGGTTGGTTGGATGGATGGATAATGGTTGGATGATGGCTGGATGTTTTTACCTGTAGGATTGATCTCATCTATGTCGGGGTCCTCCAGGATGCAGACCTTCAGACTGATCAGTTTGTTTGGTTCGGTGCTCTGAGGCCTGTCAGACTGAACTCTGGGACTAAAAGACAAAGATGGAGGTCAAAGGTCAGAGGAGGACATGAGACAGAATCAAACTTTAAAATATAAAGTCTGACCTGATGTTTGGACTGGATGGCTGGGACGTTGTTTGAAGTTTGTCTTTTTCTTTTTGTGGCAGCTCCTAAAGTTTCACCAAATGATAAAAAAAGAGTTACTCTTTACAAACATTACATTTCAAAGTGAAAACTGTTCTAAAATATTTTTACTGGAAGGATAACAGCATGCTGATGCACCTTCAGCTGGATGTAAAGGAGCGAACTCCCAGTGGACCTTCGGCTGATCTCCTCTGGAGTCACACTGTCTAACCTCAGCGGGTCCAACTTCCCGCCATCATCAGATAAAACATTAAAAGGCCGACCATCGGCCAGCTGAGGAAAGGTGGACTTCAGCAGGTCCAGGAAGTCTGCCTCCTTCAGACCACGAAGACACTTCAGCTCTTGGGGGGTGTACTTCTCCAAAACTAAGATCAAAAACAAAAGTTAGAGTTCACAAAGACAGAACAAAAAACAGATTTATTTTAATTTTACTGGTTTTAATTTGTGCTGAAAACTTGACGTGCGCTCTGTTCCTCTAAAGAAAGTCCTGGAGTTAAAGTTACCTTGTGGTGAGACAGCATCAACCTGAGGGTTGTCCAGAAAGCAGATGTTCAGGTTCACCAGGGCATCTTCATCACTGACCCGCTCAGAGTCATCCTCCTGCTGACCAGGCTGATCTCTGAGACACGAAACGATCAAACCATGAGGCTAACGGCACTTTTTCAGGTGAGAACTGTTGTATTTGTACTGACATGGTGCTGGGACCAGTTAGATGTGGGGTGGATCGAGAAGATTCAGCGTCATCATACCCGTCATCATCATCATCAACATCAACATCAATGCTCTGCAGGGCTGTGCTCTGCAGTTCTGCTGCAGGCTGGAAGAAAAGATAGTTTAGAAGTTGTGTTGTTCCATCGTGTGATCAGAGCCGGACCACCGGCACAACTCTGTGGTACCTTCAGTCGGAGGTAGAGGGCGGAATGCCTGGCGGCTCTGCAGACCTCTTCCGGCGTGAAGGACTCTACCTTCAGAGGCTGCAGCTTCCTGGTTCTGTCCGTTACTAACGGTTCAAAGGGTTGATCGGCGGCCAGCAGAGGGAAGGTGGACCTCAGCAGGTTCAGGAAGTCTGCCTCCTGCAGGCCGCAGGGACACTGCAGCTCGTCACATCTGGACTGTCTTAACACTGAGACACACAAACATTTGGTTTGAGCTCAAGCTGAAATAAAACTAAACCCAGGCTCAGCTTTTGGGTTTTTAGCAGGGGCGGAGCCAGAGGGGGGGCCGGGGTGGCAAGTTCCACCCCTGACACCTGACTGGCCACCCCAGGTGCCACCCCCCAAATAACTAGGGCTAAAAAAGTGATCAGGATTAATTTTTTCACAGGGTCCAATCTCGGTTATTATCACTATTTTTTTTGTTAACCTAGAAAGTGACTGAGAAATTATTTAACACAGGACTATTCAACTAAACTGCTCTGGAGGCCACATTTACTGCAGGCTAACAGCTGAGGGGCCGAACATAATAACAACAATAATAAAAAAAAATAATAATAATAATCATTTTATTTGAAAAGCACCTTTCAGGACACCCAAGGACACTTACAGCAGAAGGTACATCATAGGAGAATGTGTGAAAATACAGACTAGAGACAAGCTGGCATGAGTTACAGAGCATTGTTTACAAATGAAGTTAAGATYGYTATGCTAATCTAAAGAGATGTGATTTCAAAGCAGTCTTGAACACAGGAAGAGAGGTGGTGTTTCTTAGGTCAGGTGGTAGAGAGTTCCAGAGGAGAGGTGCAGAGCAGGTAAAGGCCCTGCTCTCCATGGTCAAGAGGCGGGCAGTGGGTACTTGGAGGTTTAGGGAAGAAGAGGATCTGAGAGCGCGGGAGGGGATGGAGATGTGTACGAGGTCAGACATGTAAGGAGGAGCAAGATGGTGGATAGATTTGAACGTGAGAAGAAGAATTTTCAAGATGATGTGTGACTTGACCGGGAGCCATTGGAGCTGCTGCAGGACTGGGGTGATGTGGTTATGGGAGGAGGTCTGGGTGATGACACGTGCAGCCGAGTTCTGGGCCATATGACGCTAATGGAGGGATTTGTTGGGGAGGCCAAAAAGGAGAGAGTTACAGTAGTCAGTGAAGTCACAAGACTGTGGACAAGGATGGCTGTGGTGCGAGGAGTGAGAGAAGGACAGAGACGGTTGATATTTCTGAGGTGGAAGTAGGCAGACTGAGTAACATTAATGATGTGTGCAGTGAAGGAGAAAGTGGTGTCAAGGATGACACCAAGACTCTTGACCTGAGGGGAGGGGGTTAGCAGAGAGTTGTTGATAGAGATGAGGAGATTATTAGATTTTGAGATTGAATTTTTAGTGCCGACAAGGATGATTTCTGTTTTATCGCTATTCAGTTGAAGGAAATTGTCTGAAAACCAGTGATTGAGTTCATTGAGACAGTCAGAGAGGATGGAGGGAGGGTGTGTGGAGTTTGGCTTGGTTGACAGGTAGAGCTTTGTGTCATCTACATAACGATGGAAACGGACACCAAACTTGCGGAAAATGTAATCAAGAGGAAGGAGGTAAGTAATGAAGAGAAGGGGTCCAAGCACAGAGCCTTGGGGCACGCCAGTGGAGACAGGGGATAACTGAGAATGGAAGGATTTTATCTGGATGAATTGAGTGCAGTCAGAAAGATAAGATTTGAACCAGCCAAACGCAGTACCTGAGATGCCAATGGAAGTGAGTCTGTTGAGAATAGAATGAGAGATTATATCAAAAGCAGCACTTAGGCCAAGGAGGATGAGGATGGACAGAAGACCAGAGTCAGTAGCAAGGAGAAGATCGTTGGTGATTTTTATGAGGGCGGTTTCGGTGCTGTGGTGGGGTTGAAAACCAGATCAGCTGGAGGGTCCAAACCAGAGCAGGCAACAGGTAAATCCGAATAGTCCATGTCTGGTAGTGGAGTGAAGCAGACAGTGTGGGAACGCCAGGGTAAGGATCTGTGAAAACGTACGTAAAAAGTGAAAAAGATAGAAAAGCTAGAAGGCATGATGAGCAGTGGCAACAGGGATGTGCCAGCGTTTACTCGCCGGAAGTGGTAGTCTCGAACATCGAGCAATTTAAGTCATTATGTAAATAAACCAAGTATTACAAAGATCTGTTACCTTTGAAATAGTTTATTTTGCTGCATTAATCATGAATACAACATACATAATACTGTGTAATAAAAGTAATGATATGAAACATGTCTATGTTTAACTAAAAGAACTTATAGTACCGTATTTTTCGGACTATAAGCAGCAACTTTTTTCCTGAACTTTGAACCATGCGGCTTATAGTCCGGTGCGGATTATACGTGGGTTTTTTTCTTCAGCCACCAGGTGGCTCTGATGCTCCATTTGCTTCAACCACTCGCTTTTACAAAAGAAGAAAAGAAAAAAGAAAAAAGCGATCGCTTTCAGAGCCGACTGTTGACCAGGAAGCAGCGATTTAAAGATAGTCAATGGCCAAAAACTCATAAAAGGGGATAAAACAGACATTTTTCACGGTGGAATCTGATTGATAAAAACTTTGGAGCTTAATCCAGGACCAGCTTGTGGATAAACGTCGAGTGAAGAGCCGCAGACTTTTTTTTCCCTCATTGCACTCCCCGGGGAAAGAATCCCATGCAGTGATGTATGCTGGAGCGGGAGGGCTTTCCCAGCAGCTGACTGATGGGGATAAATCATTCACAAAAACTGACCGAATGCAAAGAGCGACATTTCCTGATGTCTGCCAGTGGATCCTAACACTGTGGAGCACAGTGAACGAGTCCACCATCACCAATGGGTTCTGAAAGGCTGGACTGCTACGTGAAGAGGACACCACAGCTTCAGAGCCAGCATTACCCCGGGAGGKCAACAGATACCGCTGTGTGACGCAGCTTTTCTCAGCTTGTTTAACTCCGACACTGAAGAGGAGGGATGGTTTCAGTGCGCCGGAGGACGATGAATGAGACGTTTTGTTGGACCAGAAACGGTTAAAGAAAACTACCAAAATAAGGTCAGTTAAATGAACCGTATTCCTCCGAACTTTACTGGTAATTTCTAAAGGTTTGCTTTTTATGTTTTAATTCCAGACCTCTAGCCTTCTCTTTCCGAGAGTTTTTTATTATTATTATCATTATTATCATTATTATTATTATTATTATTATTATTTTGTACCGGTGAACTTGCCAACCTTTTTCTTAAAAATAAATGTGATGCTGAATTCACTTTTTTGACCACAATTTTGGGTGTACTGTTTTGTTGTTGTTTTTACTGATGGGGATGGGGGGTGCGGCTGTTTTTGTTTTTTACTGATGGGGGGTGGGGCTTATAGTCCGGTGCGGCTTAAATGTTGATGTTCATGCGTTTTTTTTTTTTAATGGCGGGTGCGGCTTATAGTCCAGTGCGGCTTATAATCCAAAAAATACGGTAATTAAAGTAGAAAACTGGGGGTTTGGGCTGAGGAGATGAATGAACCAATTGGCAGGCCGAATTTTGGTCTCTCGCAGGCCAGATGTGGTCAGCGGGCCATCAGTTGAATAGCCCTGATTTAACAAATAAATATAGCTACAGAAATAAAACAATAATGTGTATTATTTCACTTTCACTAATATAAAAAAATAGCTGTGGTTCAGTAGAACATTAAATTATTTTTTGCAAGGTGTTTAAAAAGATATTTACCAAGAAAAAAAAACATTTATGTGTAAATCATTGAATCTCACATTAATAAAGTTTTATAATTTTACTTTTGTAAAATTAAAGTTTTAGAACTGAATTTCACATTAAATATGCCATAAAGAAACAAACCCTACAAAACAGCAACAATTTGTGCACAATTGCCAATTGGATAGGACCTAAGCTCATTGCTTTTGTTATGGAAGGACACCCCCCCCCCCCCCCCTTCCTGGTTACAGAGCTTTATCAAACGGACAACTCTGTTTCATTTTTTTCTGAAAGAATATCTGATTCTGCACACAGGACAAACCTTGGATAAACTCCCAGCTTCTGAGTGTTCAGGAGATGGCAGCGTCTCTCAGCTCACTGTCTCTTCAGCGGTGTTAGGAGCGGCCATTGTTGCTGTTTGTCGCAGGATGATGACATCATCCTGGTTATCTGACGCTAACTTCTGCTAAAGCTTCTAACACTGAGCTAAATAATGAAAACCAGTTAGTAAAACAAGCTTCTTTCTGTAAAATCTTTCAGCGAAAGCAAAGCCCAAAGACTTTGTGGAAGTATTTATTGGTTTTACATCTTCTTGTTTGATCGATCACCTCTTCCTCTAAGCTAAACGTAGCTTTAGATGCTAACTAAAGCTATTTGACAGTGGAAAAACTTATAATGTGATATTAAAATTTCATCAAACATTTCATTAGCAACAGAACCATCTATGATGCAACAACAATAAAGCCTGAAACATACTCCCTCCAAACTGCCGACGTCGGCACGGGTTGTCGCAGTTTAATGACGAAAATTACGTCACCGGGCTTTGCAGAGTCGTGTCGACAGCCCCTTTTAGCACAACCCCCCAGCAGAACTTTTGAACCCCTCCCGTGTCGACGGTAATGTGTGATTGGTCTGAAGTCCATGGGCATGTTTGTTTGTGCTGAAGCGCTCGGACACTCAAAAGAAAAAAAAACTCGCTTCTGACTAGAGCAGACTGTTGAAGCAGAGTTTTATAAAATTATAGTCAAACCGAGAAAAACTCATGCGTGTTTGTGCTGAAAGCGCTATGCGCTACATTTACTTCAACCACTCGGTTAAAAAAAAGGAAAAAAAAAACAGACTCGCTCCCAGAGCCGACTGTTCCCAGGAAGCAGAGTTTTGTAAAGATAGTCAAACAGTGAAAAACTCATGAAAGGAGATTAAACAGACGTTGTGCACAGAGGAATCTGACTGATAAAAACTGCGGAGCTAAACCAGGACAGATCATGTGGATAAATACGTCGGGTGAGTGACGAGTCTTTTTTTCTACATAGTTGCGGGGAGAAATTCCATGCAGTGACGTATGTTTCAGCGGCAGGGGTGTTTCCCAAGCTCGGCGCAGGGTGTCTCAGGGACTGTGAAAGGTCTGTGTGCGAAAATGACTGCCGAACAACCATGTGACTGCGAGTCAACTTGTCGGTGTCTGAGCATGTTTCCAGCTTAAATGTTTGAGACTTTCTGCAAAGACAGTAAAGTTAAACAGTTTATGTTATGTTAATTGTGTCCAAGAAAACCAAACTGCTGGGGGTTTTGAGGGAAAGCTTGAAGCTTACCACGTGGTGAGATCATGTCTACGTCACAGTTGTCCAGAATGCTGATCCTCAGATTTACTTGGTTATCTTTTATCCAGTTTTGAGGAGGCTTCTTCTGATTGGTCTCATTTCTGTGACACAGAAACAGAATCGGATAAGACCAAGAAATGAAATAAAAGAATAATGCTACTTTCACACCGAATGCGTTTTGAGCGGCCAAAAAGCGCAAAACACCTCTCGTTGGACGCACTATTTTCAGATCAAAGAACGCACTAGTGTTCAGACCAGAACAAGCAAGCAGCAGCGGCAGCAGCAGCGAGGTGTGGGAGGAGTGTGTCCTTAGCGGGTGAAATAAAGATAAAATAAAAGAAAATGGCTTTGATTTATTTACTAAAAGGCAAGCGAACGTTGCGCACGGCAGATAATTAACTCACCAGATGATTTAGAGGCGATTTGTTCAGTTAGTTTTGTCACTCCAGAAGCTGCCAGCTGACGGACTTTTTTCTTTTTTGGTCCCGAGCAGCTGATCCACATCGGTGCTGATATATCCTGCCAGAAAATCCAACTGCACATGGTCAATTTCAGGTAAAGATCTCCAGTCCGTCTGTTTCGGTTTTCAGTGGGAGACGCGTCGAGCGGTGAAAAGTTCAGATATTTGAACTCCGGCGGCGGCGGCTTCCGCAGCACCGCATGCGCGGAAAATGCTCTGCGCTCCTTCTGCCTTCCTTGCGCACCGCCCAAAACGTACGTGACGTGACGCACGACCCCTAGAGGCGCGTCCTCCATGGACTTTGCATGTGAATCGCCCACTCCTACCGCTCAAAACGCGTTCGGTGTGAACGTACCATAACTTGTTTACGACAACAACCAGCTGATATTATTTTTAGCTCACTTGGTGCTGGGTGCAGCCAGTACGGTTGGAGACTTTTGATCTCTGTTCTCACAACCCTGCAGTGGCTCGTTGTGTCCTGCCAGAGGTTCCACCGGACGCTGAAACAAAGCAACACATCAGCATTGGTCTGAGACGGTCTGAAACATCAGACAAGAAGCAGGTCCTGGAGCCAGGGGAAATACCTTGGGTCGGATGTAGAGGGCAGAGTTCCCTGCAGCGTTGACTATTTTCTCCGGTGTGAAGGTCTCTATTTTCAGAGGGTACAGTTTTTTGCTTCTGTCCGTTATAAGAAACTCAAAGGGTGTACCAGAGGCCAGCGGGGGGAGGGTGGACCTCAGCAACTTCAAGAATTCATCTTCCCGCAGGCCACAACGACACTGCAGCTCATGAAACGGGTACTTCTTGAAAACTGAAACATACAAATATTAGTCACATCTCATATTTACCAAGTTTCCCATGATAGTTAAACTTTGCCACCATCCATTTCCAAACTTTGAAGGGTCTGATAGTCCACCCTTTCATAAGATCTGAGACCTAAAATCCCCGAGAACTGAGATTCTTAACCCATGTGCCACGAACACCTCCTTGAAGGTCTCAAAAGAACAACAGTTTTTAACTTTGGCCCGTGGGACCGATTTTGAATAAGGTGCTTTCTCACCACTAGTAGCGGTAGTGCGCCTCTTAGATGTTTAACAACTTTATTAATATGTAGAAGAAGAACCTTGGATATCTGGCGAGAGAGGAAACATTTTAAATTAAAAGTAGAAGACAAAAATGTAGGCAACTCATTAAAAAATGCCAAAGTTTGTCACTAATATGAAGTGCAGCTTCTGGTTCTACCACGCAATATTTTAAAAGTTCAAAACATTATCAAATACAGTTACAGATACAGCTATATTTTAATTTGAACTTTTTCAAATAAATTTTTGTATTTTATTTTTAAACATTTTGAAAGTACTCTAAAGAAACTTTAAACTTATCAAAAAGCTGTTGTTACTGTTATTGTTTGTCACTAATATGAAGAGCAGATTCTGGTTCTACCATGCAAACATTTAAAAAGGGTTTATTTTCATTTGTAATTTATCAAATTTATTTTTACAGTTTTTTTTTATTTGAAACATTTATATGAAACATTTTGAATGTACTTATTTTATGCCCACAATTTTATTTATTGAATTGTCCATCCGTCCGTCTTCTGCCGCTTATCTGAGGCCAGTTCGCTTGGGCAGCAGCCTAATCAGAGAGATCCAGACTTCCCTCTCCCCAGACACTTGGGCCAGCTCATCCGGGGGAATCCCAAGGCCTTCCCAGCCCAGCCAAGAAACATAGTCCCTCCAACGTGTCCTGGGTCTTCCTCTAGGCCTCCTCCCGGTGGGACAAGCCCGGAACAGCTCACCAGGGAGGCGTCCAGGAGGCATCCTAACCAGATGCCTGAGCCACCTCAACTGGCTCCTCTCGATGTGGAGGAGTAGCGGTTCTACTCTAAGTCCCTCCCGGATGACTGACCTTCTCACCCTATCTCTTTGGGAGAGCCCAGACACCCTGCAGAGGAAACTCATTTCTAACCTTGTATCCACAATCTCGTTCTTTTGGTCACTACCCAAAGTTCGTGACCATAGATGAGGGTAGGAATGTCAATCGACTGGTAAATCGAGAGCTTCGCCTTCTGGCTCAGCTCCCGCTTCACCACGACAGACCAGTACAGCGTCCGCATCACTTCAGACGCAGCATCAATCCGCCTGTCGATCTCCCGCTCCATTCTTCCCTCATTCGTGAACAAGACCCCGAGATACTTAAACTCCTCCACTAGGGGCAGGACCTCCTCCCCGACGTGGAGATGGCATGCTACCATTTTCCGGCTCAAGACCATAGTCTCGGATTTGGAGGCACTGATCCTCATCCCGGCTGCTTCACACTCGGCTGTGAACCGCTCCAGCGAGAGCTGGAGATCACGATCTGATGAAGCCACCACACTGCTCTTCCTGAATCCGAGATTTGTCTATCCGACGGACCCTCCACTCCAGGACCCCTGAATATTACCAGGGAGGCTCAGAAGTGTGATGCCCCTATAGTTGGAACAGACTCTGCTGTGCCCCTTTTTAAATAGGGGGACAACCAACCTGGTCTGCCAATCCAGGGGAACTGCCCCTGATGTCCACGCGATATTGTAGAGTTGCATCAACCAGTGCAAACCCACAACATCCAGAGCCTTAAGGAACTCCGGGCGAATCTCATCCACCCCCGGCACCTTGCCATCAAGGAGCTTTTTAACCACTTCAGTGACCTTGGCACCAGAGATTGGAGAGTCCGACCCAGGGTCCTCAGGCTCTGCTTCCTCATGGGAAGATGTGTCGGTAGGATTGAGGAGGTTTTCAAAGTATTACGCCCACCGACCCACAATGTCTCGAGTTGAGGTCAGCAGCGCACCATCCACACCATAAATAGTGTTGGTGGCGAACTGCTTTCCCCCATGAGACGCTGGATGTTGGACCAGAATCGCATCGAAGCCGTATGGAAGTCTTTTTCCATGGCCTCTCCYAKCTCCTCCCATGCCCGAGTTTTTGCCTCAGCGACCACCCGAGCCACAATCCGCTTGGACTGCCGATACCTATCGGCAGCTTTTTGCTTATTGAATTGTCTATTTGTGACCCATCATATCGAAATGAGGATTAAGTCAAATTTTGTCAAAATGACTTACTGTATTTATTCGTGTATAATACGATCTCATGTATAATACGACCCCCCCRTTTTTTTTAGCTTAAAAAGCATAAAAATTAAATCCTCAAACTATCTCCAATTTCATACAGACTTCAAGATTTTTCAGCCTTTGCAGTRTTTATACATATCAGTAAAATGATCATTGGACTGTTCATGTTATTTTAATAACGTACTAAAAG